GAAGAAGAAGAAGAAGAAGAAGAAGAAGAAGAAACTGATTACTGTTTTGTCTGCAATTGAATCTTTTTACCCTCCAGTCATCTACATTGAGAACTCGTCTTTCACTCCTCTCATCCTCATCGTCAGTGAAAGAGTTCGCATTTGTGTCGGCCGGGGGGACCCTCCATGTCACTGGGCGCATCAAGACAAACAAGAGCTACCAATCATTGTCTTCCTCTGTGGATGGCGTCATTGCTGCCATGGCAACGTCTGCCCCGGACACGCCCTCTGTGGATCTCATCTCCTTCACAGGAGAGTTACTCCAGTCAGTGCAGCTGGATAGGTATTTGTCCAATGATTTTTTTTTTGGCTTTAAAAATCATTTTTTAATATGGCATTACAAGCGAAACCACAAGACAACTACAAGAACAGCAATAACTACAACCACAACATTGGCAATGATGACGCAACAACATCAACAACAATAACAACAGCTTCAACGTTATCGAAGCAACCCAATTGAGATGAGAAGGGAATTCTCTAGGAGCCAAGAAAGAACACGCAAATACTGAAGAAAACAAAAGTTTTTAGAACGGGTTGATGTTTCCTCAACTTTTCCTTCACCTATCTCGTAATCTGGCTGACCGTTGCGGTACCACTGTAGATTTTGCAACTAACTCGTAGCTTCTTTCTTTCTATATGGTTCTCAACTTTCTGTCGTAAAATGTTTCAGTCACAGCTAACCTAGTCTTCGATGTTGTCTTCCCAACGTTTCCTCTATCTGCCTCTTCGTCTCCCTTTGTGGAAGTTTAATAACAATAAAACAGTTTTTAAACAAATGTAAATGCTTTTACGCTCTCATCGTCAAAAGTAGAGATAATTTAGAAGACAGGCTTCGACCCTGCCTATCAGGGCGAACCCGAGCTGAGAAGGATGCAGCATCCTAGTAGGAAGGCCAAAATACTCAATAAGAATGCTCTCCACTCGGGAATCAAACTTGAGTTTCCTGCGTGCGGCAGAGAAGGATCTAACCGCTACACCACCGACGCCAGAAATGAAACATTAAACTATTCAGACATTTTACAATGATCACGTGATTTTGTCTACAGGATTCGGTTCCCGTTTTCTCCTAAAGATATTGCGCTCACGCCATGCGGTCAGATGTACATCCTATTCGGGTAGGTGTCTTCATTGTTTAGTTTTGGTTGAATATAAAATCCAGTAGGGTATTGATCTGAGAGGAATCATTCCTGGACTGATTTAGACACCCAAAAAGAAAAAAACAAACAAACCCAAAACACTTGACCCGCCCTCAATTCAATTTTCAAAATTCAGAAGCAGGAGGAGGAGGAAGAGGGAAAGAGGAGGAGGGGAAGAGGAGGAGGGGAAGAGGAGGAGGGGCAAGAAGAAAATCATGAAAAGGAGGAAAAGAAGGAAGAAGAAGAGAAGAAGAAGACAAAGAAAGAAGAGGAGATTAAAGAGGAGGAGGAGGAAGAAGGAAGGAAAAAGGAGAGGTAAGAGGAAGACAAAGAGAAAATTCAACAAGTTTAAAAGGAATGAAATGATACGAGTTTAAGATACTCTGCAGTTTCTTAATTTTGGGTCTCTGTCATGTCACACACTAATGGCTTCTGGGTCAAAGTGGCCAAGTGATAGGACCCCCCCCATCCTTTTGCGCCCTTCTCAAGATTTAAAGAAGGATTTGATGACTCGAATTAAGAATGTATAGCTGCACCAAACAATTTCACGTTCTTGAAACTCTTCTACTTTCCCCAGCGGCAAAGAGGCATTGGTGTTTATGACGTTTCAAGGGGAGGTAACTATGTCGTACAAAGTGTCAGCTGCACATGGCGTCAAGCGTCCAGTGAGCGTGGAGTGTGATGAGATGGACAACGCTTACATCACTGATTTTGGCGCCTCCAAGGTATCTGGTATTTTTTCTC